AAACAATAGGACCACTAAGATGGCCCTAGATGACTCATCTAACCCATCATTTCATTATTCACTATAAAAATTGTAATATTTTGCCCTAATATTTTGGAAAGGATTTGTTAAAATATGTATGTTGCAAGTGTGTTCTTTTGAGACTATGTAGAATAAATGCAGAACAACTGACCACTAGAGCAGGATTAATCTTGATTGGACAATTTTTTTTAAAACTTTTTTTGAAAGAAAACACAAAATGTCACATGCAAAACATGTAAGGTGTAGATGTTTGAAGTTCACAGTTTGGGACAAAATTTTTTTTATACATTCTGTATGGTAACATAACTGTACCACAAAAAAAAGACAATAGGTCAAACATTGTAAAAAATATGAAAAGTAGGCCAGTTAAAATCAAAATTCAATTCAACATCAGAAATTACACCTCTAGTCCAAATTTCAAGTCTGTATGTCAAGAACACAAGAATGAAAGTCAAATTATATCAAAAAAATCAAAATAGGTCAGTTGATATCAAAATTCATTTCGGCATCAGAATTTACAAACCTCAGGTCAACATTTAAAATCTGAATGTCAAAATACAAGACAGTAGGTCAAATGATGTCAGTAATACCTAAAGTAGGTCAGCTGGTATCAAAATTGAATTCAACATCAAAAATTACACAAATTACACCCATAGTCCAAATTTCAAGTCTGTACATAAAAGACAAAAAAAGTAGGTAAAGCGATATCAAATATATCAAAAGTAAGCCAGTTCATATCAAAATTCAATTAAGGAACAGTAATTAAACCCCTTGTTCCTTGTTAATTCAACAACAAAAAATGAAAAAATTACAATTTTTTACAAAATTCAATAAGAGAATTGAGCAGATAAACTCATCTTTGATAGTAAAGTACAGGAGAAACAAATTTTGAGTTTCTTTAGGCATATTTATTTCCTGGTTAATGACCTACAACTGACCTTACAATGATGCAATAGTCCGAATTCCAGAGCTGAAATATATTTACGCATCATAAACAGGTCATGACCCAAGCCAATGAAATTTATGAAATTCTTGCTGAAAATGTCTTATTTGGATAAAAGAATGAATATACTATGTACAGGAAACTGCATATGCTATTACAGGCAATGTAAAGATGGTCTTTTCTATAAAAAAAAAAGAAAAAAAAGTTTTTGTAATGACACTATCATTATATTTATACTGTGACCACGAATAGTGTTAAGAGTTTAAAACATAACATATCTTCTTTGTGTGAAGTCAAAACACGTATATTTCATATTTATATTTATAAGGAGACTGTGTATCCATTGTCAATAAAAAAATTTATATTAAAATTAGAGCTTAGAATATCTTTAAACTTTAATTTAAAGAAATGCTAGTGCATTTAAGCTTTAGCTTTAACAGGACCAATCAAATTAATATGAGCAAACTTGATTAAAGACTACCTAAGAATGCTACTGACAAAGTTTAATGATCATCTATCAATGGACCGTTCCGGTTTTTCGTAGCGGAACATTTAGCCACACCTTTTCCATTCATTGCTAGGTCAACTGCTCACAAACAGTATCACAAACATAAGCACGTGTTCTTTTGTGCAAACCAGGTCAACCAGTGACTATGTATTATCTCACTGTAGCGATTGGATAACAAGTTAGCCAATTTACATAAAACTGTAAACACCGGAAAGGTCCATTAGCTTTGCAGATGAAGATGTCTAAAGGTTTTTCTATTTTTAGCCCTAGAGACCCCTAAAAGAGGCCAATCAAATTAAGATGAGCAAACTTGATAAAAGACTACCAAAGAAGGCTACAGACAAAGTTTGGTGATCATTCATCTATTAGTTCTGTAGAAGCAGATGTTTAAAGGTATTTCTATTTTTAGCTTTAGCAGCCCCTAAAAGGGACCAATCAAATTAATATGAGCAAACTTGATAAAAGACTACTTAAGAATGCTACAGACAAAGTTTGGTGATCATCCATCAATTAGTTCTGTAGAAAAAGCATTTAAAAGTATTTCTATTTTAAGCTATAGCGGCCCTTAAAAGGGGCCAATCAAAATAATATAAGCAAACTTGATAAAAGACTACCCAAGAATGCTACAGACAAAGTTTGGTAATCATCCATCCATTAGTTCTGTAGAAAAAGATGTCTAAAGGTTTTTCTATTTTTAGCCCTAGAGACCCCTAAAAGGGGCCAATCAAATAAATACGAGCAAACTTAATAAAAGACTACCCAGGAATGGTACTGACAAAGTTTTGTGATCATCCATCTATTAGTTCTGTAGAAGAAGACATTTAAAGGTATTTCTATTTTAAGCTATAGCGGCCCCTACAAGGGGCCAATCAAATTAATATGTGCAAACTTGATAAAAGACTACCCAAGAATGCTACAGACAAAGTTTGGTGATCATCCATCAATTGGTTCTGTAGAAGAAAATGTCTAAAGGTTTTCTATTTTAAGCCCTTGTGACCCCTAAAAGGGGCCAATCAAATTAATATAAGCAAACTTGATAAAAGACTACCTAAGGATGCTACAGACAAAGTTTGGTGATCATCCATCAATTAGTTCTGTAGAAGAAGACGTTTAAAGGTATTTCTATTTTTAGCTATAGCAGCCCCTACAAGGGGCCAATCAAATTAATATGAGCAAACTTGATAAAAGACTACCCAAGAATGCTACAGACAAAGTTTGGTGATCATCCATCAATTGGTTCTGTAGAAGAAGATGTCTAAAGGTTTTTCTATTTTTAGCCCTAGTGACCCCTAAGAGGGGCCAATCAAATTAATATGAGCAAACTTCATAAAAGACTACCTAAGGATGCTACAGACAAAGTTTGGTGATCATCCATCCATTAGTTCTGTAGTAGAAGATGTTTAAAGGTTTTTCTATTTTTAGCTCTGCTGAACCCTAAAACGGGCCAATTGAAATGACATGAGCAAATTTAAGTGTGACTATCACAAGGATGCTACAGACCAAATTTTAGTTAAATCTGCCCAGCAGTTTCAGAGAAGAAGATGATTGTTGACGCATGACGACGGACGACGGACGCCGGAGTATCCCCCTTTGTTACTAATAGCTCACCTTGAGCCTTCGACTCTGGTGAGCTAAAAAAAGAAGACAATTTAAGTTCTTAATTGCAAATATAGAAACTTAGGAATGTAATGTTCAAAGACATTTTACACGTGAAAAGATTCACTCCGAGAGAGACATAGATCCGACATGAGAACACATTAGTCAAAATATGTCGTCCCTTCATGTTTTCGCATTTTCGCATTTTGAGGCGAAGACGCGAAAATATTTGGATGGCGTTAATCAGCCACCATACATAATCCATTCAAGGCGAATTTCTCAAGCATGTCGATAGGATGTCCGGAAATGTGTTAATATAAAACGCTGATATTTCGTGTGTTGATAAAAATACTGTTTAGATTCTATATGGTTTTGAAAAAAAAAAACTGTTTCTATGTAACTTTTCACGGAAATGGGCTGTACAATGATTGCGTAAAAACAATAAAATGTCGGCTGTAGAAATCGAAAGGCATTTTGTCACGTGACTTTTGCCCATGCTACCGAAAACTACCCATCACAATATCACGGCGTTGAGACGCCGTGAAATAACCCACTGTGTACTACAAAATGATAAGCAAAAATACCCCGAAGAGCGCGATTTATTGACGGAAAAGGTTATTTCATTTGAAAATGTTTGCATTGCGAAATTCTCCAGTTCGCCATTCATTGTACATATCGCGACTAATTAACAATCAAGCACCCTCATACCGATCGGAATGATCGGCTTTTATTATTGGCAACTATAAAAGGCTCGAGAAGTTGCTGTCGCCCTTTCACAAAATCTCATTTCATTCCAATAGGCGCCGCGCTTCGGCGCGGACGCCAATAATATCATGCTTTATAGTTTTGAGCAACTAAACGTAGGCCTATCACTTTAAGCTCGTAAATATAGATCTAACTTTCTACCTCACAATTTAACAAAATGTCCAGAAATACCGGCAGTGATTTGATATTATTAAGAATAAGTTTGAATTGGAGCGACTCAAACTTTGAAAGTGTTACACATTATGTTAATACGAAGGGGAGATCTAGTCAAAAAGAAACACCGAGTGACGTCCTCAATAATTTTAACTCCCTAAAGTTTGAAAATATTCAGTAAAAAAACAATAGTTATATTTTTCGCGGGAGAAAAAATACCGCATATTGTATATATTGTAGTTAAAAGAGAAGTAATTACAGAAGTCTTTCAAGAATAAGGAGATAATATGTAGGGAAATCATTTCTGAGAAATATATAAAATAGTTTAAAAAAAATCAAAACGAAGGTATTGTACTGTCATATAGATTCATGTCATTAAGTGTGTTTTCAAATATTTAAATGTTATCAAAGGTTTTATTGTTAATATATGAATTGAAGGATTAGGTGTAAGTTTAACAATTACTACAAATTTTGGTATACAAGAATTATTTTAAATACCATCGAGACAAATTTATCTCAACTCTTAAAATCATCTTTATGAGGATACATATGCCTAACCGCCCTCTGTCAATGCCGCAACTGGAATCTGTTGACGTAATAATGTTCTTTTCGTGAGGACTCCATTTTCAAGAGTTATAAACATTGTGATGTTGACAACTAAAATTGATGGTCTTTTCTTGAATTATGGATTTGGAACATACTGTACTGAACAATGATGTGTTTCATATACATATTTCATTTGCTAACCCAGATAACTGCACAATATGTTTTAATTATGAGGCGGATTAACAGTTTAAAAATCTGGATCATCATAAGTGTAAGAGTCACGCCATTCAGGAGTTTCAAAGTAAAGAAAATGGGATCTACGGAACTGGATAGAAACTGGTAATGAAGGAATCTTCAGAATACGAATTTGTCGTGAAGTTTATTAAGATCTATTTCGAAATTCATAGGGATTTAGATATTCAGCTTAAAAGTAAGTGCAATTTCTAGATCTACTGTAGACTCCATGTGACTCAATGTTTTTGTTGCTTATTATTCATTTTTTAAAGTTTTCCATCATGCATTGCAACTAAACTGTTACATCTTGTAGATCCAGCTTTGTAAAATAATCATGAAACGACCCCGAGAATATCATGTACATTTTAGAAACATGACACGTGCTTTCTCATGAGTATTTCGGCAATGGGCCGAATGGCTACGGAAAATAAACAACAGAGACTTGCCGTACTGAAGAGAAATTAAAGAAAAGTAGACACTTGAGAGAAAAATCCTGAAAAAATCTCGAGGGTGACTGTTTTTTAGTTTACAAAAAAAAGAAAAACAACGTGAAGTGCAAATAGATCTGGCTGAAGATAAACAAACTAACAATTCCTTTGCAAAATATAAAACTTAAAGAAAAAATGGAAAAAAAAAAAATACCGTGATCAGTGATCACGTTAAACGAGATTTGACGTCGTGATTTACGCATGACGTTGACGTTGTTTCTACGCGACATTGTCATTGACGCCACAGCAATAGAAAAGCGAATTTATTCACATATCAGTTTTCAGCGATATTTAACGATTATCGACAGTTATGGAGGAAGTTTTTATACCGAAAATATCTATCCTGACCCAAGATGGAGGAATGTAAGTGAAATTTCAATTATTTCACCATACGTTTGTGAGAAAAGAAAAACAACCTGAAGTGCAAATAGATCTGGCTGAAGATAAACAAACTAACAATTCCTTTGCAATCATATCATCAAGCCACAAATATCTATGTATCTATTTATTTGGTTTTAATTTCTTTCATTCGTTTCTTTCATCCTTTTGCATTTCATTTATTCATTTATTTATTTATTTATTTATTTATTTATTTATATATTTATTACAGATTTTCCAGTCTTGACAGTTTATCTGTATTTACCGGATACGTTCCCATTACAGTTCCGATTTTCCAGGCAGTGAAAGTTAAGCAAGGTTTGTGATTTTCTTAAACGAAGAATCTTTTAAGCGTTTAGAATAGTTCACCTTTATCATTAAACAGTTCTTGTTTGTCGTTCCTTTTCGTTTAGTTTTTAGTTGCTTTTTCGTTTAGTTTTATCTAATCAATTCGTCTTGTTTGACGACTTCTCCTATTTTTTCTTCTTTTTCTTTCTAAATCAGTAATCAAACCATGATGGACTGCGAATTATTACAAAAAGAAAATTTCTTCTGTGTTGGAAATTGAACCCTCGAACGGCCTTAAAATTTATATTATTGTGGCGTTCATCGTTTCTTCTTAGTCTTCTTTTGAATACTTCTTATCTTTCTTACTTCTTTTTATTGTTTCTATCTTTTTCTTTCTATCTGTCTCTTTCTCTAGAAAACAGACTAACCACTTTCCTGCGAACATTGAGAAACTCTGTTCTGAAATATTCTAGACAAGATTATGATATCATTAGTACTGATGAAGATTTTGATACACTGTAAGATTTTACAACATAACATAAAGTTTATTCTTGTGACATAGGCATTCGGTCCAAAATACAAAACAGTGCAACAAATATAAAAATGCAATGAAAATACAATGTAAAATTATATGTATTAATAATAACCTGTTTTTCAGTGGGTATAAAAAACAACATATTTTTCATGTGCTCGCAAAATATGATAAAAATTAAATTGTATAGCTGCAATAAACGATCGTTGTTAAAATGTCTGAGGTGTTTGTGGTCACAATAAATGATACAAATTGAATTACGTTTATACTATAACTTGCAGTAAGTGATACATTTTAGTACTTCTTATTGACTTTATATTAACATTTTTGTCTGCCAATATAGGTTTTCCTCTGAGACACACCTAGTTTTAAAAGAACGCAAAAGAACGCTGGTACACTTCATTAAGAAACATGAAACAGCCCTGCTTGCATTGAGAGAAGCTAGAATGGTAAGTTTTATCTTAACTAAGGAACGCTCTAAAGAACAAAACATTGCAACGTGATTATAACACAAACTGGTACCATTTTATATCATATTTGACTAGTAAATTTAGAAATCAGTATAATCATGTTAATATACCATAGTTTGAAAATTAATTGATATTTTATTTGCAAAGCTATGAACAAAATATCAGTTTTAATTGTATTCTGTTGTATGGTATTGTATTTTAATATAATTGATTAATGCATCATTTTACAAAACACTAATGTTCATTGATACCAGTAATGGTTTCTTAGATTTATATAAAATATCCCTGATTTACAGAATTGTTGGAAGTCAAAGGCAAAGCTGCAAAAGTATGAGTTGATTTTAGAGACACAGAGATCTTCGTTACGTTACAACCAGAACGAGGCTAAAGTAAGAGAGGCAGCAATTGAGGTATGGGGCTTTTGACTGCTTTTATTGCCCATATTACTGACTATAAAGATAAAATCTTTTAACAATTCTTGAACAGAAATTCCATGTCAAAACAGTTGTGCAAGAGTTTTTGTTTGTTTGTTGTTGTTATTATTTTTGTTGCTGTTGTTGTTGTTGTTGTTAAAGCTGTGAACTGTTTTCATTTACTTACAATGATACATTTTCATTTTTGATGAATACCTTATATTGAAAAAAATCACAAATATACATGCAGATTAAGATATCTATGTATAAGTTGCTATACGTAAATGGATAAACAATGTACAATAAATGATAGATACATCAATTTGTACAAATTCTGTGTTAATACATACTTGTTTTCATTCATATAATGGCATCTTGAAAAATACAGTTCACGAATTATAAGTTTTATTTACATTATTAGACCATAATGTTGGTTTATTTTTTACAGGATATGGAATTGGTACATAATAAATGGATGGTCAAGCACGAGAAAGACCATATTGCTTTTGAGAAAAAGTTCTTAGCTGAGATAAGTTTGCGAGAGAAAATTCAAAAGGTAGGTTATCGCATATCATACAGTTTTTATATAATAATATTAAAGGTACATTACATTGGTAGTACAATTCAAGTGCGTGTTTTGGAAACTTTCGCGTCAACTTACACCATGTTTATATTGTACATACATATACTTCATATTAAAAATATTATAAATATTATTTATTATTATTATCAATATTATTTAGAACTTTTTGTGTGTTTTTTTCTACGTTAAAGTCATATGAATAAATTATAAGCCGTCCAAACTACTGACCATATTATTATTATTATTTATTATATACTTATAAATGAAATATTGAGAAATATTGATGAAATAAAATGCCTATTTTCATTTTCCGTATTTTCACTGTAAAAATTTATTTTTCACTGCAGTGAAACATATTTTCCGTATTTTCACTGGTGTCTTGCCGGACTACTTTCTTTTAAATTCTGCCAGTACATAAAATTTAAGGGAAAGCCTTTCAAATTTTAATGTCAAAAAAGAGAAAAATGTATATTATTATAATAAACAGAAAATTCAAGTTTTTTCTATAAACGAGATACTATGTCTTGGCCACGAGTTGCTAAGTCGTGGCCACGAGCTAATTAAGTCGTGGCCACGAGATACTATGACGTGGCCACGAGATACTATGTCGCAGCCACGAGTTACTAAGTTACTAAGTACATGTCTAGTTAATTAAGAAAACTCATATAAATAGTGTAATCTGATTGGTTATTTATCTCGTGCGCACGACTTAACTATCTCGTGGCCACGACATAGTATCTCGTTCCCATGACTCAACCATCTCGTGGCCACGACTTAGTAACTCGTGGCCACGATATAGTAACTCGTGGCCACGATATAGTTTCTCGTTCCCACGACTTAACTATCTTGTGTCCACGACTTAGTAACTCGTGGCCACCACATAGTATCTCGTGCGCACGAGATAAATGAAAATACACACATGTAACCTTTGTGCCACCGTATATAATTGTTGCCTTGAGTGCGTTTTGAAACATCGCCGAATACTTGATAGAAAAATTCAAAATACGTGATCATATTAACTCCCTTGAATTATGAGAGATGGTTCTAAAGCTAGATGCACGCCCCACGATGACATAAAACAAACACACTTCCGCAAAATAATCCTCAATGAATGATGTATTGGTGCATAAGAAAAGTTTTTTTCCGAATTTTGAACCCCTAAGTTCCCTTTTTATACCCAACATAGCCTTATTTGAATGTCTTTTTAGAATACAAAGGAGAGGTGGTTTATGAAATGACTTTTAGAAACAAACAACAGGGTCGACCAGGAGGCGATGTTACTTTACAATAATAACGTCTGTCGACATGTTTAAGACTTATGTGTTTGAACGAAACCTTGAATTACTTATAGTCTCAGATGAAACGTTTTAATCTAATAATTGAATAAATAGAGGACAAAGAATGAGTGTATGTTCAATACTGAATTTATTGAACGGGTTGATTCTATATTCTTTTTTACAAAAATATTTTGAGAGAAAACAATCATTTATTCTTTGACGCGGCTAAAATGTAACTCTTACATTTAGCGCGTCTAAACGCTATATTTGTGCTATGTCAGTAATGTTGACTATGTGAGTGATACTGTGGAGTAATATTGATTATGTGAGTGGTGCTATGTTGTTATGTTGACTATGTGAGTGTTGCAGTGGTGTAATGTTGACTATGTGAGTGTTGCTGTTAAGAAATGTTGACTATGTGAGTGGTGATGTGGAGTAATGTTGACTAAGTGAGTGTACCTGTGGAGTAATGTTGACTATGTGAGTGTAGCTGTTGAAAAATGTTGACTATGTGAGTGTTGCTGTTGAGAAATGTTGACTATGTGAGTGGTGCAGTGGAGTTATGTTGACTGAATGAGTAATATTATATGAGTAATGTTGAATATTTGAGTAGTGTTGACTATATGAAATATAGTGCTGTGAAGTAATGCCGACCTATGTG